TCTGGTCAGGATTTCTGATAGGGTTGCCTTTAGATAAGAACATAAAAATGGCCATAATGGATCAGACCAATGGTCCTTTATTTATAAAGGCCCAGTAACCTTTATTCCGACCTCAGCCAATGCCAGGTACTTCCAAGAGAATGGACAGAACAGGTTCTGATCCATGCCCTGTTGCCCATTCCCAGCTTGAGACAAAACCAAGGCTAGGATCATCATCCATGCCCCTTCTGGCTAATGGCCACTGATAGACCTATCTTCCATTAATTTATTGAACCTTGTTAAAGTCTTGGCCTTCACAACATCCTATGGCAAAGAGTTCCACATGTTGATTGTGCATTGGGTGAAACATACTACCTTTTGTTCATTTAAATCTGTTGCCTATTAATGAGAATATGATAATAAGCAGCGTAAGTGATAATACACACACAGAAAACTGAAGCTGAAATGAAGATCCATTTGCTTTCACAGATTTAGAGAAAAGGCAAATGGAAAGCATTGATTTGTACCAACACACTTCAGCTTACAAGGGTTAGCATTTCCATATTTTCCACTGAAAGGACTATTGGTTTTTCTATCTTCCACATATCCTTAGTTCTATCCTTAGATCACACATAAGAGGATAAACTCTTTTCTTCTATGTTTCAAAAGAACTTATATATCCTGTTATCTAAAGCAAACCTATCATTTTTATAGCTTTGCCTAGGCACACAGTAACAAATCAAAGTTAAGTTGGTGTTTACTTCAAAAAAAATAAAATAAAATAAAATAAAATCACATTTTTGAGCCTTATACAACACTGCCATAAAATTTCACTAGACGGTGTAATATGTTTTACAAGCTCATAAGATAAGATGTACCCACATTTTGTTCCAGGATACCACCTACATACTAAACAATGCCATAAGTTCAAGGAGTTAGGAATATCACATATATATTATGGTAGTTCACTACAAAACTGTACCTTGGGTTGGCACACATCCTTACCCACACGTACTAGACACCTCAAAGAGTCCATCAGTGAATCCATTAGCAATAACAGAAAGATGCTTCCTCAGCTCCTATTTTCTGAGACTGACCTCAAAATTGTGACACTGTCCATTGAAGGTGCTATCCACTCAAACCTAAACCACTAAAATGTGTCCCACTATTAGATTTTCACAAAAGCTTTCATACATGTCTTGACTAGAAAAAGGCTAATGGTATTTTTTTAAAACTATAATCTCAAAGTCGATTTTTATGCCCATTACAACTTGAAATATAGTTTACAGAATGACTGAAGTTTCATCTGTGACATTTAAAATATAATGACTTTTCTCCAGTAATGTTCACTTCTTTAGAGACACATCTAAGTTTGCGTCTATGTTTGTGCTACCAATGGACTCAGTCTGTCAAACATTTAGGCCAAGATTTCTAGTTCAATGCAATACTATAATATCATACATTTATTACACCGAAGTTCCATTGTTCTTCAAAGAAATGGTTCTCTCTTCATAGAAATTAAACAATAGCAAGTGTAGCCAAAAGTTTGTTCACAGAATCCCTGGGAAGAATTACAAATAGAAGTTGGCATGCTGACTGAAACTACTCAATTATTGTTACTATTGCTCATTTGGAATCTAATTTCACTTTCCAGAAGACAGGACATGTGCAGAAACAGTATTTTAATCATCCATAATACTCCAACAAAGGCTGCCAGTGTTCTGCACAAATTCCTCCTTTTGTCCAAATGGGGGGAAAAAAAACCTGCCTGTTTCCCTACGCCATCCAAAAGTTCACTATCAGCAAAGACTTGAGCATGGAAAATATCAGTCCAAGATGTAAATTTCATAAATTTATAAGCATGTAAATATGGAGTATAAGGGAAGGGCTTTTTGGCCACTATGCTAATTATATGTATAAAAATAAGGCCTTCTCCAAGAAAACTGCATGGAATTTTTCTTCCATTTAACAATGGCAAATGTGGGAGGTCAACCATGTCCCTTAAACTAATAAGGATTGGCCTGTTTATAAGAAAACAAAGACTTTCTACAGCATTATCAGCTACAAATAGGGGAACGTGCAAGCAAGAACTGCCTAGGATCAGTTTTAGAGTTACACAACTTCATTTTTGGCATTTTTTCCTGGCAATGTTGTGAAAAAATAAATGTTGGAGCCCTGCCCTTTTGGCTTGGTCCCTCATTCCCTTCTCTGAAGATACACCTCTCTTCATATAAAGTGTAACGTGACCCAAATAGCACGTTGTTATAATCTATAAAAATAGAAGAGGGAGATAAGCAAGTTCACACAATTTAAATGAGATCATCACCTTATATGCCTTTTGTTCAAATAAAAATCCAGTTGTTTGCTGAATAAGTGATGGGGAAAAAAACCGAACACTTGTGTTCAGAGTAGAGTAGTTGCTACAGAAGGATTTTCAGTCTCAGACATGCCAGTCCTTTGGGATTTCCATGCATTAATACAAATGCATTAAAGACTTAAATTCCAACCTTTAGTTTTCAGGTGCAAAAAGCTTTAAATTATAAAATTTTTATACTTATTGAAAATAAAGGCATGCATTCCCCATCCACCAGCAATTTTCCCTAGACCTCCAAATAGCCTGAATTTACGGATTACTAAGTTTTTCTATTACAGAAGTAGCCCTTCGGTGGAAGACTGTTTTCCTCATCTCTTTACATAGTAGCAGACAAAAAAAAAACCCTGAAAATATTCTGCTTTATCCAGGATTATTTAAATGGCTTTCCTAAACACAACAATTAAAATTCTGAAATGAAATTTGACAGAGGAGCAGGAAAAGTGTGAAACTAAATATATATTTAATCTGATTCAGTCAACATTGGACATAGAATACTTCACTAACATAGTACTGTAGTCCCATGGCCTTAAATAACAAGATATTTTATATTTACCATGCCAAGTTATAAAATGAAGTCAGGTAATCTAATAGCCTTAATAACAACATTAATGCCATCTCATCCATGGAATTTTGACCCATATCCAAGAGACATGGAAGGAAATTACCTTTAGTGGTAAAATGCCTTTAATTTTCCATCCCTACATTTAAACATTAATTTATAATACAAGAAAATATAAGCCTCTGCTTTTGATGACTATTTGTCCCTATGTGGCCCCATGAGATTGAAAGACAGGCTTGCTGCAAAATATCAGCCCCATCACAGTTTGGGTTTTTTTTTAAATTATTTTTAAAGGCAAATTAAAACCTGTAACTTTCTGGTAGAGCATTTTAGTAACGAACTGATTTTACATTGTTTTCTGTTAACTTGGCTTACATAACTGTCCAGAATGTCCAGGAATTTTAAAGCAATGAAGACTTAGGCTAATGACCAATAATGGTCTGCAACTTTTCTGTAAGCCTCTCAAGTCTGAACAAGTATAAAAAAAATGGCTCAAGTCGAAGGGCATCACTAGGCAACATTAGGTATTAAAGTCACATGGTCCTACATGCAAAAAACCACATGATCTCAGCACTGTCTGCATAGCAAATATCAGAACATTTCCTTTATGATAATGAAAAACTCTTCCTCTCCGATTATTCCCAAATAAGAGGCAAGAATGGGAAAAGATTGCCTCCACATAAGCTAACAGAAGACTTACAACTAATGACCATTCTGAACAAGATTAACATAATAAAAGTGCCTTAATTACAAGTGGATATTAAAATCTAAGCAGAACAGAGATAATGAAGCTTAAAGTCTATAAAGGAGAAATGCATGAAAAAGCAATAGAAAGTAAGGTTATGAGATTTATTGTTAAAAAATCCCTATATTTAAAATACAATAAACCATAAGAAAGAGCACTTTTGGAAACTGAAGTCGACCACATTACAACGAAAAGCCTTGTCAACATTTCGTCTGTGATTTAGACTGTGACTGAATAAAGAAATTCACACTTTTAAGGAGTTACTACCAATTTAATGTAAATGTAAGACAAAATTACATCAGTGAAATGGCACTCGATTGAGAAAGCGTATTGGGAAGTTTTATGACAGTGCAGGGATAACATATGTTACATCTATATTATGTAATTAAGCCCCTGCTTCTTTACAGCTGGCTTCTATTTTGAGAAAGGAACAAGTGAAAGCTAGGTAACTTGATGGAGAAACTCAATCTCTCTGCTGAGGTCATACAGCTAAAAGGATTACCAGGTCAAAATTATAGCAGATGTAAAGATGTCTCATTCTGAAAAATCCTAAGGGAACATATTAACTCATAAGTAGCACTGCAATTACAAAGTAAAGGGATTACTCTGTCTTAAATGCTCAAAAGCTGGCATGTAAAGTAACATTTTAGTATGTCTTTTTAACTTAAGAAGCAAAAGCACTGAACACTCAAAGTGACAGAAGCCTTTCAGAGTGCTAGACTGGTTAAGACGGCATCGAATTATTTCAAGAAGCACAATGTTACTTAGACAGTACCTTCTTCCTTCTATTGCTTTATATACCAACTCAGAATCTCACTGAATAAGATGCAAATTACTAAGGCTACGTCTATACTGCACCGGAGTTCAAAATAAGATATGCAATTTGAGCCTTGCAAATTGCGTATCTTATTTTGATCTCATTTTGAAATTGCCAAATTACGAAATAAGCTCTCTCAGCACAGCATCAAATTTTGAAATAACCCACTATTCTAAAATGTCCCTTACTCCTCATGGAATGAGATTTACAGAGACGTTAGAACAGTGAGCCTGAAATAATGGGCTTGCTGAGAAGACGCAGGATAGCTATTTCAGGATATTCCAGTATCCCAAAATAGCGTTGCAGTGTAGATGCGGCCTAACAGATTCTCTTTGCCTTCTTTAACTAGGTGGATTTATGTAATAAAAAGATTGCCTGCTGCTATGAGAGGTTTATTATTTAATGGATTTTGGTTCAGAAAGGATTTAAGCAAGTCCTTTTCCCCCGTGTTTTCTCTTCCAATCACATTCAACATTTACCAGACTCCATGACAAGTCAATTAAGAAAAAGTAACACACATAGATAATATCTACCATCATTTTATACACTAGGAAAATCACATTCAGTACAGCAGGGCTTCTCAACTTTGGAAGCCCCGGGGGCCACAATGATACTCACAGCACATGCCGAGGGCCACAACTTAAGTGCGGTTGCATATACATGCAAATAAATGCAAATAGATTCTTTCACACAATGCCTCGGTGCTCCCAGCACCTCTTCCCTGGGGGCTAGAAACACTGACACCCTGTACCCGTCTGTACCAGCCTGCCCGTCCATTTGAGCCTTTCAATGCTCACTCCGCCTGGAAGATGCCTCGCCATTGTGGAGCGTGTTCTCAGTGGAGGTCATGTTCAAAGTATCCCACTTGTGGGCTGCATGTTGAACCCTGTGTAAACTCAAACTGAAGCATGGGTCACAAACAAACAGGCCGTGGGCTGTATGTGTCCTGCGGACCACATGTTGAGTAGCCCTGCTGTACAGCAATCAGCTACCCTAATAACAGGCAACTGTTCTGAAGTACCCAATTATAAAACTGAAGTGATAAAACTTCTAGATGGTCCTTCTGTTTGTATCGTTTTGTGGCTCAATAATTGGTATTGTGTGGTTAAAAAAAGAAAGGAAAAAGGTATTTAGAGGTCATGATTAACACCTGAAGTCTTTAATTGCTCCATCCAAGGCACCCATTCTCCTGTTTCATAGCTACATGCAGCTCGCTCCCTCTAAAAAACAGGCATGAACAATAATCACTAACTTACCCAAAGACCATACGAGCTTACAGAACAAAACAACTATTTTGTCCAACATACATTATTGTCTTTTCACTCTTGTGCCTTCTAACTTGTAGTTAGATCTAAAGTTTAGAAAACATTAACCTCTACATATAAACATGTAGGAATTCTATTAAAATGGTATCTCTCCTCCACCATACCAATGAATGGACTTTTTGCTCTCATAAAAGAGATTTTTGCTATATCCATTAATTCACAAAATCTCAATGTTTCAATGTATAGATTTTACGTCCAGGGATAAATCCTGCTTACAATTACAGTATTTTAATAGATTACTAGACCTGCCTTAAAATAATTCATCAAAATATGCCAGCATACGTCTTTACTATCCATAATGCAAAAAAATAAAAGAATTGGTTATCATAATATTCTAAAAATGGAAATGTATTATACCAGGAAATGTATTAAGCACCCCAGTGTAGAGAGTGTTGGGGCACACAAACATACCCATCAAATTGAAATAGCTTTTTAAAAGTCAATTCAAAAAAATTTATTCACACCTGACTTACAGATCTCAGTGGAAGTTTTCTTTATCAAAATAACCTCATTATGTTTACTTACATCATTGCTGTAAAAGAACTGTACAATATATATACACAAAAAGTCATCAGCTTTCATCTTTCCCCAGTTTTAATCATCTTCCTCTTCATCGCTGATCACATATTTTTTGTGCTTTTTACTTGCTTTGTCATCATCCTCTGCTTTCCTCTTTCCAGAAGGTTCACCTTCCTGAGGGCAAAACACAACATATTTTAAGCTAATAGGAAAAATTCACTGAGTTTAATTTGATAAGGAAAAGCAAAACTTTTGGTCCCCTTCTGGGGGACTGAGACTTATGATTTATTTTTATATAGTACTCAGAGTACTCCTGACATCACACCCAATCCCCCCACCACACTCTCCAATCTTCAGGGCTCGACAAATTAGGCAATCTAATTAGGCACGTGGAGAGTAGATTTAAGCCCGGTGGGGCCACGCAGCGCGCTCTGCGCATGTGCAGCGTGCGCTTCCGTGTGGCTGGCAAGCAAAGCTCGCCGCCGCTTGGTGAGCCCTGCCAATCTTACAGGATCATACTGAAGATGCAGCTATCTTGCATTTGTGCAATTACACTGCTTTCTGGACCAAACCTGGGCCAGGCAAAAAAGTAGTCACGCATAACATGGGCTCTTGGTGTGCTGAATTTCATTTTCCACATTTAAAAATTAAACATATACATTACAAAGCAGCACCTAAAGTTATACACTGGGTATTTTAAGATGCACACCAAAAACTTATTTCCTCAGAAAGTGCTAACAATAATGCCAAAACAAATGGCCCTGGGACTCCTCTCACATAGACAGGTCACATGACCCTGTTACGTGACTACAAAGGCTACTGATAATTCATGGCAAAGTGTTTCTCTACAATTAGGGATGTGAACAACTAGTTAACTATCCAATAAGCAAATGCTTATCGGATAGTCGACAGGCTAGTTGACTAGTCGCTTCTCCCTCCTCCCCCATCAGAAAGAGGCAGCAATGGGGGGAAAGGAGGGGTACTTCAAAGCAGTAACTCCAAAGGGGCAGCGCCCCATGGAGCCTGGGGCCAGCGGGGGAGTCCCCAGCTGATCCTAGGCTCCATGCGGTGCTGCCGCTTTGAAACGCTGTGGGGAGCACGGGGCCAGTGGGGGCATACAGCTGTTGCTACACTTCAAAGGCAGTGGTGCTCTATCGACTAATCAAATAGTCGATGCAAATTGCATCGACTATTTGATTAGTCAATTAATTGAAATTTAACATCCCTATCTACAATGGCTGTAGAATAAACTATTGCTCATTAGCAGAGCTTGCCATTAATACACCACAATGCCATAGACAGCAGTAGAAAACACCAACAAAAAAAAGTCTGAGCACGGCCATGGAGTCCCACAAATATCCTGATATAAGAAAGGTGTGTCATTGGTCTACCTCCCATTTCAAAGGGTACACTGAGAAATTTGCTCTTCTCTAGGTGAAAGTTTTAGTCTTGCAGTTAGACAGGGAGAGCAATTTCTGCTAGGCATTTGTAACTACCAGCCTTAATACTGCAGGGGAAGTTATACACTAATAGCTGACCGACTGTTCTCTCCATCTCTCAACAGCCAATATTAGGAATGTCAGTGTGTAGAGAACTACGCCTGGGCTTATCAATTAATCCTGTCAACTACACACATTCTGCCCCCCTCCACTTTGCTGCCTCTGTATCAGAGGCAGCAAAGGGAGTGGGGGAGGGGGGGGCAGAAGCTGATGCTGGTTCCCCATGAGCACTGGATCTACCTGCCCCCCACCCCAATGCTGCTGCTTTGATAGAGAGGAAGCAGCACAGAGGGTGAGGGGGGCAGAGAGAAGCCAACAGGAGGGGAAGGAACTGGTGCTGGGCGGAGCCAGCTTAAAAGCACCAGCTCCACGCGAAGCAGCCTCTGTCAGCAGTGGGCCTGAGCTCACTCCTGCTGCTCCTGCAGCAGTAGCCCCTGTCCATAGGGGTCCAAGCTCCCTGCAGCCAGGGGCTGCTGTAGCACAAGATGGTAGAAGGCTCCTCAGGAGTGGGGCCCGAAGCTCCCTGGCTACCACTTTGCTCCCAAGGACAACTGAATAGTCATATAACAGCTAGAAGCAGCCTCTGTCAGCAGTGGGCCTGAGCTCACTCCTGCTGCTCCTGCAGCAGTAGCCCCTGTCCATAGGGGTCCAAGCTCCCTGCAGCCAGGGGCTGCTGTAGCACAAGATGGTAGAAGGCTCCTCAGGAGTGGGGCCCGAAGCTCCCTGGCTACCACTTTGCTCCCAAGGACAACTGAATAGTCATATAACAGCTAAATTTTGACACGGTTACACAACTATTCAATTACACCCTATCTAACATCCCTAGCCAATATTAGGGTTGTAAGAGACTAGTCAAGTCACTACTCAACTAGTCACTTCCCCCCATTGCTGTGTCTGTATCAGAGGTAGCGGGAGGAGGGGGAGCAAGAGCCAGTTTAAAAACCGGTCCCACCCAGCACCGTCTCCGCAGAGGGGCAGGAGAGGCAGAGGCACAGGCACAGCAGGAGAAACAGCAAGAGCAGGGATGAAGCAGTCCCCACTCATGCTGGGTCCCGACTACTGCCCTTCTGCCTTTTAAATGTAGGCAGAGCCTGGCAGTCCCCACTTGAGTCCCTGCTGTGCCTCTGCCTTTTAAATGTAATAAGAGCCACCCACGGCTCTTACTACATTTAAAAGGCAGAGGTGCAGGATAGTGAGCGTCCCACCCCATCCCTTATCGACTAATAAAGTAGTCGATGGAAATTCCATTGACTTCTCGATTAGCTGATTGAAACTTAACATCCCTAGCCAATATACCCACCAGAGAACAGCAACAAACAACCAGCATGTTTGAAATTTTGTCTTGACAATTTTGCAGCCACCCAGAGAAATGATATTATGATTTTATCATGTGCGGTCTATAAATTAGTTTCTATTCTTAACACATACCCAATGAGCAAAAGGAGAAAGCACTTCAAAATAACTGCATGGAAATGTTTATTAAAAAAGACTAGGGGGCTGTGCCCCCTGCTTGCTGTGCTCGCCAACCCCCTCTCTGGGGGCAGCTGTCTGGCAGTAGCAGGCTGGGGTGCAGGGTCTCAGCAGAAGGAGTGAGGGGTTTTTGGGAGGAAGGGTCAGGGTTGGATGGCAGAGGGGACGCGGCGTGACCTGGGGAGGGTAGGGGTTGGGCTTGGATGGCAGAGGGGCCAGAGCTGACCACAACAAATGGCTGAAGGCAGAGGTGGGTCGCAATGGCCACATGTGGATGCCAATGACATGATGAAGTCATTTTGTTGTCCCACAGGACATTTTTATACACACACGCGTGCGCGCTCTGCAGTATACTGTTAGAACTAACGTTTTGAGAAAAACTCTGAAACAGAGCTTCAAGTCTCATAAGAGATGTAGCTGGACAAAAATCAAAAGATCAAATCAATGGGGGAAAACAGAAGGCTGAACACTGGATTAGAGACTATAATTTATGGCAAATGGCAAGATGACCACTGTATTCAGTCCTTTCCCAAAAATATGGCCTGGCCACAGGTCTGGGACCAAAACACTATGCCTAAGGTCTAACTTATCTCTAATCCTGACACTGTCTTTGAGCAAGTTGTAACAATTCTCAGACTGTTTACCCAGCCATAACATGGGAATACTACAGTATTTACTGAGATATTGTATAAAAAGTCTCTTCAAAATACTTGGGAAATAGTGCTAATTTAATAAATGCCAAGTGTTTTAGCAAATCAGAGAATGTATAATCACATCATCAAAATTAATGAGATTGCATAAGAATCATGAATTATGAAGGGGACAACCCTGTCTGTCTTATTTTCATGATAGATAAAATAGATAATCACATAATGAGATTATAAAATGGTGAGATCCTTTAATAAAAGGTCTAAGTTAAACAGCACATGAGAGAGTATAAGGAACTGAAATAAAAAAAATTCTGCTATGAGATAGATAAGGACATCTCTTGCAAATCTGTAGAGAGTGACAATCAGGTTGGTCCACTTTTAAATTAATTAGTTTGGATGATGAACCAAAATGTGGAGGAATATTAGAGGTAGCACTATTTTCCAAGGTTTTTTTTTTCTGTTTCGCAAGGAAATCATTACTATTGATGGCCAAAAACCAATACTTAAATACCTGTTTAAATAATGCAGCTATAGTAGATTCTGGAAAACTTCAGTACAGATGGTTACAAGAAGGCTCAAATCATTTGAATTGTGATTTGATCCATAAAGAACTGGACACTGTTGGGTTGGGCGAAGGTGGGACAAAAGCACAGGAAGAGATCCCACCCAACACAAAGGAAGTGTATCAATTTAACTAAATCTGTTTAGAAACAGATGCAGTTAATCAGCACAGCCTCCTTGGGGGAAACCATCTTTTATCAGTTTAAGAGTACCTTACAGAATCAATTTAAATGTTAAGTGACTAAGGAATCAAGCTAAGCAAAGTTGATGCAAAGCACTCAAACCAATTAAAGAATGTATACACAAGTGAAATCAGTAGAACTTCTGTTTAGAGAATGCCCAAGTCCCTGTCTCCTAAAACTGACAAGAATATGGTGGGCTTCTAAGATAGTGATAAGAAAGTATTAGCCAGGACCAATGAAACTAACTCACTTCCCTCCTGTTTTAATTTACTGGTCACAGTTATCCTGTTCATCAATAGCAAGTGCGTTTTTCGAGTTTTCGTCAAATCAAAAACTATGCTCATTAATGATCAAGGTCTCTTCAATCTACTGTGAAATAAATAGTTGCTACTCATAATAATACAAAGATTTGCTATTCCTGACCACTGGACTGATTTATTATCCAGTTTGCGGATACATTATTTATCCATGTTGCCTTTAACTATAGGCCTAAAATGGTTAAGTTGCTAAACATTAAAGTTTTTTAAAATAATTTGTAGCGGAGTGAGTCCTACCACACCAAAGTGAGGGCTACTGTGTACAAATACCATGTGATTTACATGAATAATAGATTCAGTGTGCTATGTATTTATTGTATATGTTTAGGATCTGATACGCATGAAATAACTAGCTTTGGATTTAACAGGTAAGGTGACTGATTTATGGGATTCCTACAGTATTTTCTTACTATGTTTATTTTACAATGTCCTTTATATTTTATATAGATCCTACTTTATGTTTATGTATTTGACCTGGAGATTTAAATGCTTGTC